CACCGGACAAATCAGGATGGCTGTGGCGTTTCCGCGGGTTGCGGTTTTTTGCGTCGCCCCCTTCCCGGGTTCGTCAAGTAAGACGCGAAGGGAACCCAAGGGACGGCCGGGAAGATTCGCCGACCAGCCGCGCAATCTTCCAGAGGCCGCTCGCCGGACAAATCAGGATGGCTGTGGCGTTTCCGCGGCTCGCGGTTTTTTGCGTCGCCCCCTGCCCGGGTTCGCCAAGATGTCGCGACTTGTTTGTAGCGCGGCAGTCCTTGCTAACCTGCACTACGCTACCGGCTGCAACTTGTGACGCGTGGCGTCCAAAACTCCTGGATCTGTGTTGCATAGATCCCAACTCAACTATTGGGTGGGTACATTTTTACACAGGATGTCCTGGCGTCCGGGTTCAGTGGCGAACTGCAGTTCGTCTATGAGAAGACACTGCACGACTATCTCGAAAAGCAGCACGGTTATGCATTGCAAATATCCCTGGATGTCTGGAAACCTGTGATGCTGAATTGCGCATGGCTGCAACGCTTGCAACGGCAGCCAAGCATGACAACCTTTCGGAGCGTTTCCCTCTGCGTGACACGCAACGCAAATTGCCTTATTGCATAATAAGGAACGCTGCTTATTTGCTGCTCATGCCACACAGATTTTCCAGGAATGCAAGATACGCACTACAACCTTCCAGAGGACCCAGACTTATTTGCAATGCATAACGGTGAAGCAGAGACAAATGAGCGCGACATCCGCGAAGCGGTGACGCGACAAACGCAGTGGGTCGAAGAAAATTTCCCGGTGACGAGCGTGAACCCGCGGTCGTTGCCCCCGAACGTGAAAATTGTGTCCAAGCCGAAAGACGCGGTGACCCAGCTGAAGATCGAAAACAACCGGCTGAAGTCGGTGGCAACGGAGGACCCACCGGGCAAGAAATTCCCTCTGGGGGGTAAAAGAACCGCGACACTGGATGAAGCTTTGAGCATGCCGGCCCACCAGCTTCCGGGCCCACTGCCGGCGCTGGATACGAAATGCAAAAATGTCTGGGTCTGGAAACTTGTGATGCCAAAATGTGCATGATGAAAACGCTTCCGAATGCAGTCCGGCATGACAACTTCCCAAAACGCTTTCTCGTAGGCAATCCGCATGAGAACCTGCGTTCTTGCATGACAAAAGAGACTGCGACTTTTGTTGGTTATGCAATACAGATTTTCTAGCTATGGAAAGCTAGCTTTACAAGTCCCAACCTTCCAGACCCAGACATTTTTACAATCCATACTGGGCGAGCCGCAGCAAGAGTCACTGAATCAAGCACTCGTGCGAGTGCACATGAAGCAGGAGCTGATGACGATGTTCACAGTGCATATCAACTGGAAAAATGTCTGGGTCTGGAAGATTCTGACACTTGTCAGGCACGTTTTGCATGAGCCATGATGTCCGTGATGCCTACCCTAGCAATACAGATTTTTTGAGGGCTTCTTGATGCCTAATATTTCGCATGACAAATGCCTTCTCAGAGTAGCAAAAATTGCATTCCCCTTGCTACTCATGCAATACAGATTCTTTTGGAATCCAAATGCAGCATCACAGGTTGCATTCGTCCAGACCCAGACACTTTTGCATTTGATAGCGCAGCCCCTTTTGGAAAAGGAAGCCAAGGACCGGCAGGGGAACCTATTGCCCAAGAAGAACCAGTATGAACTGCAAAAGTATCGTACTAGTACAAATTGCATTACAAATTTGCTCAGCATTACAAATTAAATCTGTAATGCGGATGGACATTAATGCCTGCGTTTGTAATGCACAACTGCAATCACTACGAGTGCGATACTTTTGCATTGGATAACCAGTTATTACACGAAATTTTCAACCGAAACAAGTTTTATCGGGAGAAGGCTGAAAAGGAAGCGAAAGAGGCGGCGGACAAGGAACAGGAGGAGCAGGCAGCACAACTTCGAGAACAGCAAGCTCGACTTGTGGAGCAGCAGAAGAAACACCTGAAAAAGACGATGCTGCCGCCTGGAAGTGGGCCCGCGCGACAAGGGAAAGTCGCCAGAACCGGCGCGGCAGGAAAACAACTTCAAGTACACGGCACTGGGATCACGAAGAGGGCAGCGCATAACACAGTTGCGAAGAGGGTGGAACACGGGAAAAGCGGAAAGAGCGCTACTATGGGGTTGCAGAACTACGACTCCAGTGCAAGTAGTTCCTTGCCGAGTTCTAATGTGAATTATAAACTTCCACCAAGTAGTAGCGGTGTTCAAAGACCTACGATCAACCAGTCTTCTTCATCCTCATCCTCATCTTCGGCAGTTCATAAAATCAATCTGCAACGACAGAATATCAAACCTGGAATTCTGAACCAGCAGAGCAGCACGTCGCGAGGTCTTCTCGGGCTGGGAACTACTGGAAAAGCAGGAGCGCAAGATGTAGTTTCCCAGGAGGTGATGAGACAGCGGCAGGCAGCCCAGCGACATCAATTGCTAGTGGAAGAGGAGCCGGAAGATCCCGAGTTCGATCTACATCTCGAAAACATGCTCCTCCTCCCAACGACGCTGTCTAAGCGCGGCACGGCCGATTACGTCCGCTTGATATCAAATGTAAAAATGTCTGGGTCTGGAAGATTGGAAGGCTTGTCATGCTTGTCTGGCATGACCCATGATGCTTGTAATGCATGACCCAGCATCACAGATTTTTGGAACGCTTCCTGATGCCATTTCCGCATGACAAATGCCCTCCTCGCGCGGCACCAATGTGGCTCCTCTTGCTGGTCATGCAATACAGATTTTTTTTAGAATCCAAAGTTAGCATCACAAGTCCCAACTTTCCAGACCCAGACATTTTTACATTTGATACTTGAAGAGGCCGTACCAGAAGGAACTCCAGCGGAGGAAGAGGGAAAAGAACTATGAAAAACAAAAGTGTCTGGGTCTGAAAGAGTGTGAACTTGTCATGCAGGTTTTCCATGACCCCTAAGGTTTGGAATGCGGGACCTAGTATAACAGAGTCTGTGAGGTCTCTTTCACTTTCGTGCCTATCCTGCATGAGAAACTCCCTCCCAACTTGGTCGAAAGTGGACAGCTTTTGGCACTCATGCAATACAGATTTTTGCATGCTTCGGATTTAGCATGACATGTTGCAACCTTCCAGACCCAGACATTTTTGCAATCCATAAGAACAAGGCCCGGGCGATTCGCTTGGAAAGGGAGGCCCGAGAGAAGCAGGCAAAGTTACTGGCACAGCAGCAGAAAGCCCGGGCGAAAGCCGCGGCGGCCGCGGCCAAAGCGAAAGCGAAGGCACAGGCGGCCAGGTATGAACTGCAAAAGCATCGTGCTAGTTGTATAAATCGCATGCAATACAAATTGACTCAGCATTACAAATTTCATTTGTAATGCGGATTTGCAATAGCAAGTAGAGTTGTGATGCATAAATGCGATAATTACTACGAGTACGATACTTTTGCACGGGATAGCAGGAACGCAAAGGCAACGGTCCGGAAAGGTGGCGGCGGGGGAAGGAGCGCCGCGAGTGGGCGGAAGAGGTGAGAAAAATAGTTCGCGGGGTGAAAGTACGAACCATGCGGGTATTCAAGCTTTATTTCTCGTGGTACACTAGTAGACCTAATCCTAAACTTGGATAGCCGCGGCGACACAAAGCGACACAAACAAACCGTAGCGAAACCGATAGTGGAACGGTTCTTATAATCGCATTTTTAGCTTCCTCACGACCCTTACGACGTTTGATGCCATGTGCCTTTATTTTCACTTTGCCTCTCCCGTTGTACGAGGAAAATGATATAAGTATACCGCTGCTACTTGTTCGTGCTTTTGCTTCTTGGTGCTGTAAATACGTTGCACAGACGACTGAAGCATGCGACACCTCCGGATTATATATCAAGTAGTTCCTTGAGACACGACTGGAATTTTTTTTCTCACACAAAAAGAAAAAAGAAAAACGAAAAAAAAAACTCTGCCGACGCCTGGAAGCAGGACGTATTGGCACTGACGTGCTCGACGTCCTGGAACAAGTATCAAAAGAGCCGCGAGCGTCTCTGTTCTTCATTCTCAGGAGCTTTTCGGCAGTAGCGCTCTCATGGCTCTGTCGAGCGAAGCTGTTCATGCATTTATAGATGCTTAGATCTGAGGCAGGCTGAGTGACCAAATCAAGCCACTGCGTATTGCAAAGATCCCTGGTGGGTCTGGAAAAGTTTGAGTTTGTAATGCTACACGAATGGGTTGTGATTGTTTACCGCGAGAGACAGATACTATGCGCGAAGGGTATTGCAAAAATTTTGTCAGCTGTGGGGGGCCACGGAAAATCCATCAAAACGGCCGTGTTTGGCTCAATGACGGTCCCGTTTGGGTCTCCCAAGCGCAAACATTTTGGCTGGCCAGGCAAGAGATCCATGGAAGGGAGATGAGAGGGCATTTTGGAAATGATCTAGGGAAAATCTAGGGACGGCATTTTGGAAATCTACGGAACCCACATGCGCAGGCTTTTTGATCTAGGGGTAGTGCCTTCACTCAATAGAAACCGCTCCTGGAGAAAGCCCGCGCGTGCTTTTGCCTCCCTATTTTTTGCTCTTGTCTTGCACACATTGAAAAGACCACTGCCTCTTTTCGCTTTCGCGAAAAGTGGTCATTTTCAATTTCAGAATAATTTTATCACGACGGGTTCGTGATGATCTAGGGAAAATCTAGGGAAAATCTAGGGAGGGCATTTTGGAAATCTAGGGAATCTAGGGAACCCACATGCGAAGACTTTTTCGTCTAGGGGTAGTGCCTGCACTCAATAGAAACCGCCCCTGGGAAAAGACCGCGCGTGCTTTTGCTTCCCTATTTTTTGCTCTTGTCTTGCACAAATTGAAAAGCCCAGTGCCTCTTTTCGCTTTCGCGAAAAATGGTCATTTTCAATTTCAGAATAATTCTATCACGACGGGTTCGTGATGATCTAGGGAAAATCTAGGGAAAATCTAGGGAGGGCATTTTGGAAATCTAGGGAATCTAGGGAACCCACATGCGCAGACTTTTTGATCTAGGAGTAGTGCCTGCACTCAATAGAAACCGCCCCTGGGAAAAGGCCGCGCGTGCTTTTGCTTCCGTATTTTTTGCTTTTGTCTTGCACAAATTGAAAAGCCCACTGCCTCTTTTCGCTTTCGCGAAAGATGGTCATTTTCAATTTCAGAATAATTCTATCACGACGGCTTCGTGATGATCTAGGGAAAGTCTAGGGAAAATCTAGGGAGGGCATTTTGGAAATCTAGGCAATCTAGGGAACCCACATGCGCAGACTTTTTGATCTAGGGGTAGTGCCTGCACTGATTAGAAACCGCTCCGGGAGAAAGGCCGCGCGTGCTTTTGCTTCCCTATTTTTTGCCCTTGCCTTGCACAAACTGAAAAGAGAAAGACCACTGCCGCTTTTCGCTTTCGCGAAAAATGGTCATTTTCAATTTCAGAATAATTCTATCGCTTGTCGTAGTGACGGTCCCGCTTAGGTCTTCCAAATGCAGACATTTTTGCTGACCAAGCACAAGATCCATGGAAGGGAGTTGGAAGGGGGATGGAAGGGAAAATCCATCGTGCCGTCGTGGTTGTCTTAGTGTAGCTCCCGCCTAGGTCCCGCTCAGGTCTTCCAAATGCAGACATTTTTGATGACCAAGCACAAGATCCATGGAAGGGAGTTGGAAGGGGGATGGAAGGGAAAATCCATCATGCCGTCGTGGTTGTCTTAGTGTAGCTCCCGCTTAGGTCCCGCTCAGGTCTTCCAAATGCAGACATTTTTGCTGACCAAGCAAAAGATCCATGGAAGGGAGTTGGAAGGGGGATGGAAGGGAAAATCCATCGTGCCGCCGTGGTTGTCTTAGTGTAGCTCCCGCTTAGGTCCCGCTTAGGTCTTCCAAATGCAGACATTTTTGCTGACCAAGCAAAAGATCCATGGAAGGGAGTTGGAAGGGGGACGGAAGGGAAAATCCATCGTGCCGGCGTGGTTGTCTTAGTGTAGCTCCCGCTTAGGTCCCGCTTAGGGCTTCCAAATGCAGACATTTTTGCTGACCAAGCAAAAGATCCATGGAAGGGAGTTGGAAGGGGGATGGAAGGGAAAATCCATCGTGCCGGCGTGGTTGTCTTCCGTTTATTTTTTGGTCAAAGTAGATATAGACTCATTTTGCGATCGTGATCGAACGGAGCTTGTTAAACGTGGAGGAGTTTCGACGTTAGACCATGAAACTACTCGCTCGCTTGGTTTTTGTCTTTATCTCGATCGTACATAGAAGATCCTCGCTAGTGGAAGTCTCGTGAAAAACACAGGCCTGATGAACATCATGATCAACTAAAGCAATGGCCACACGAGTACTGTGTAAGCACTTCTTTTTTGATCCAGTTCTAGATCCGTACAGCATTTATCGACGTGGTAGGTAGGTCCGTTCGACCGAAAGTGGGAAACGCGACTTCCTTCGTTTCGAAAATCGAGAAAAATACAACCTCGATGCTGTCTACAAAAATAGACCAATTGTTTTGTGTTTTTTCTCGTTGGGGGGAAAAGTTGACTAGTGGTGATACTACACGATCATAGTTGACCTTTCAAGATGAAGTCAGCAGGGAATAAAGCAAACGAAGTTATCCTCAGTTCGCCCGAAGACGACGACGGTAATATCACGCAGCCTTTCGCGTCGGCGGCCATCCAAAGCTCTCCCTCACAAAGCGGTCCAGGTGAAGAGGGCCCGAGTCAACAGGAAGAAGACGGCGTGTTGTCAACATCAGATGAGGTTGCCTCCCTCACATTCACGCCTTCACCTGGGCAGCCACAGCAGTACCGAAGCTCCCGTGTGCTGCCACTCCTCTCCACAGACGTGATCCCCGGTACAGCCGAAGATGGAGCCGTCGGAGCCGTCGTGTGGCCCTCCCCTGGCGGGGCCGGGGGTGAAGAAGATAATAAGTCCTCTGCGGTGCCTACCCCAGAGTCGGTAAAACGTTCTTTCCTGGCAGTATCCACTGCAATAACATGTCTGGGTCTAGAAGAAGTGTGCAAGATGTGTCATGCATCTCGCGGACCACTGGAGTGCATGCAGAAGCATTACAGATTTTGCGATGTCAATTCCGCATAAGCAATGCGCCTTTTTCTTAGGAAGAAGGGGGCAGCTGTTGATGGGGTATAGACAACGAACCTGGATGAACTTTGTGTGGTCGAGACTTCGCATGACAAGTTACTATACACCCTTCCAGATGAAGATCCAGACATATTTGCGGCGCATATGCTGCGTCTTTGCTCACGACCGGACCCGCGGGAAAAGCGCCCAGACCACCAGTCGCACAGGCGTCGCCACTGACGGAGCTTTACAAGCGCAGGGACGCAATCACTCAGCACTTCAAGGAGCAGCGCCAACAACTGCAACAAAGGGAAGAAGATGAGCTGCACAAGGTGGATGCGCTGATCCGACAGGAAGAGAGACGTGCTCGGCGCAACATGCTCGAGAAGCAGTCAGATCTCGAAGGTGAGCACGTGAAGTTGGTGGGGCGTGTGGGGACAGCGGAACTGCACAGCGGGGCTGCGAATGAACGGGCTCTGCGGATCGAAGCGGACCTGCTTGGGCTTCAGGAGAAAACCACAGCCGCCGTCGCGGACGTGAACGCCCGCCAGGACGGGTTCGAGCAGGAGACCAGGGATGGTTTCAGCAGTGTGGCCTCCCGCCAGGACGGCTTCGAGCAGGAGACCAGGGACGGTTTCAGCGGTGTAAACGCGCGCCACCAGGCCTTCGAGCAGAAGACGATGAAGGAGTTGAAAACCGTGAACGAGCGCACTGACGCAGTGGAGAAAGAGCAATCGGCACTGAAGCAGCAACTGAAAGTAAAAACGGATGATTTTTTGGATTGCTTGACCCTATGCAACATCGTAGATGTGTCTGGGCTCTCTGGAAGACAAATGCAAGGTTTGCCACCCTCGTCGTCGGCAAAGAATGTCAGTCCTCACAAGTTTGTCATGCGCGTTTTACCAAAAGGAATAATTTAAATTTACTGCACTTTCACGCAGAATGGGCAGTGACGCTGCAGAAACTCGAAAACTTGTCATGCTTGTCCGTCAATTGTGATGCTCCACCCAGCATGACAAGTTTTTCTTTCCAGACCCAGACACCAGATTTGCACCGTTCGATACACCCGGTGCGGGAACGACATGCGCAAGCTCGAGCAGAGTTTCCGCGGGGAGGCGGCACGCGTGTGGGAAGAAATAGAGGACAAAATCTTCAACGCTACGTCGTCGCTTCGCGACAACGTCACCGCGCTGAAGGGTGAAGTCGGGAAGGTCGGAGACAGGCAAATCGCGGACCGCAGTGCCCTGGAACAGCAGTTCGCCCAGGCCTGCCAGCAGCTACAGAGGGCCCTGCAGGAAACAAACACCAGTTGTAAGCAAGTCGCGCAGGAGAATAGCGACGCAATCAAACACTTGTACCTGTACGTCGACGAGATTGGGACGGCATTGCGGGAGGATTTGGACAACATGGGTGAACGACAAAAGGCAGAGGCGCAGAAAATTACACAGGTAAGGATATGTTTTTATGCAAATGAAATGTAAAGACGATCTCCACAAGTAGATGACTGGTTGCTCTACAATCTGCATACACAATACGAAACTTCCAAATCTCATGACAGGACACTATCCAGCAGCGCAACCAGCTCAACAACGATTTTCGAGAGGCATTGCGGCAAGGTAAGCGGTCCGAGATTATGAGGCGGGCTGGCGAGTCGCGAAGACTTCTGTGTAGCTGGTTTTCTTCAGAACACCTGCCGACGCCGACCCAGATTTTCAATTTTCTCGAGGAGAACAGCGTACATTTTCGAAAGCTTTTGCCTGTGGGGTGGAATGATTGAGGAAAGCCCTTATCGTGTCTTCAGCCCTAAATTTGACAAAAACTCGGTTCTATGTATAGAAGTCAGATACAGATTCCGAAAAGAAAAAACCGAAATAAAAAACATACAACAGGACTCACATCACGACGTCGTGAAAGTCCGCCTGGTGTTGGAGCGGGCGCGAAGCTTCATCGCCAAAAAAAACACTCATCAGAATGTCGTCGATATTTTGGCGGACCTGCTCTCCCTCCGCGGTGAATATCAAATTCTGCTGACGGCACAAGAGGAAGCAGAGAAGCAAGCGAGGGAACACCTGAGCAAGCAGACTACAATCACACCCTCGGACGACGGAGACGAAAACCAGTCGAATTCTGTGTAAGAGCAGCACGAGGCTGTATCACACTGAACCTGGACGAGGCGAAGCTGCAACCCCAGATGTAGAACAAATATTTTTCTCGAGGAATCGAAACTAAACCCACTTCCTTCTCCTTCTGACTCCTTCATCTACTTCCTCTACCCGTGACTCCTGCACAAGAAGCTGCTCTTACCGCCCCGGTCAGCACGGAACAATGTTTAGTACAGCTACAACCACACCAATGTTTACAGCTTCTCCACCTATCGAGCCGTTAAATGACGAAGTACAATTTGAACGAACTTCCACGATGCCGGAGCTCCTTGTAAAACTCGACATGAAATTATGAGAACTTTCCCAGCAAATAGGAGAATACCACCCCTAGCAGTCCCCCCCCTGTGCTAAGTAGCAAGATGATGACGATGATAAGAATGATACCCTCTGTATTGTGAAAAACGTGCGACGGGCGTGCAAATGAAACTTCACAATTCGCAATTTCTACTCGCGCCAGTTTCTAGTATTCGCTAGTCTAGCGAATAGCAGTACTTCCTGTCTAGCCTAGACACTTACTCGTCTTCCTCAAACTCGTTCGTGAGGCAGGTCCAATTTCGATCCGAATTTTCGTATACTGGATTCGAAGCTTTCCGCCGGCAGCTCGTAAGCAGCTCGTGAGCGAGATGTAAACAATGAATAAAGAGGAGACCAGGGTAAAAACATCCAGTGCGACGTTTATAGATATACATGGCAATAAATCAAATCGATCGAAAAGTGGCCTGATCTAGATGTATCGTTTGTGCACGTGGAGTAACGTCACGTCGTCGTCGTCTCTTCACATCTGCACTCTTGCAACAAGGCCGAGCTTTGCTCATGGAATGTCCTTTCTGGTCGTGTTGGTCTACTCTCGTATGAAATTTCTTGGACGCCGTGGGAACTGCTACTATGAAGTTGCACAACTACAGATCCCCAACTGTTTTTTTCGTCTCCACTTCAAAGGTAAAAAAGAAAATTGGTTCGGGAAAGGATATTATCTCATGTCGACTCAGCAAGCACTACCCCCGGCGCCGCCCCCGGCCACGACAGCGTCGGTTGCCCGTGAAGATTGGGTTGCAACACAATCGCGGGACGAGAGGACCGCAGCCACGCCCGCTCCGACAGCAGGAGCAGACGGCAGCGCTACGGGAACAACAAATCCGGGAGCTGTTACAACGACGACCGAGCATCACGAGAACGGTAGTCCTGCAACACCTGCGGCCGGAGAAGCGCCTACTGATCGTGGAACAAACGTTGCTGGACGTACGCGTGGTTCCGGATCTTCGTCGCAGCCACAGACGATTCAGGCATACTGCAAAGAAAAACTTCGGGGCTTCGAAGAGACGCTTAGACGACAGGAAGTTCGGCTGTCCGGGGTACAGGAGACACTGCAAAGTCACACGTTGCGGCGAACCGAATTGGAAACCGATAACACGAAGTTCCGCACAGACCTGGAAAACTTGCGAACCGAATGCAAAGACCACACGGACACCGAAATCAAGCGAGTCGAGCGCGGCGAGTTCGAAGCATTCCAGCGCCTCGAGGGGCGCGTCAAGCAACTGGAGCCAAGCGGCACGCAAGGGCGGGAAAAGGGACTGCGGGCAGCGCGACGCAGAAACAGCGAACAACTCCTCGAGAGAAAAGACAGCGGCGATCGCGGGTCAAGCGTAGCAGGTGCCGCTGCAACAACCGGGTCGAATAAATCGACGCCCGCGGGGCCGACTTCGGCGCCTGGCCGAAGCCCGTGGCAGAATGCGCGGGCTGCACTAGCGGAGGTCCGACGTGTGGTAACCCTGAAAGACGTCGTGCTCGTCGTCTGTGGTGGCTTGTTAGGCGTCGCGCTTTCTTCCCTGCTCCTCCACCGCTCCGTCGACAAGAGCGTCACTGTTAGCGGGAATGGATGGAACGGTACAATTACTACAACTTCAAAGTAGCAAACGAGAGCACAGTACTTCTGTCCATTCGAAAAATAGATCCACGCGTCCGAAAAAACCGACAGTATGTATATACGACGTACTGCTCAGGATTTCATCACTCTCGTGTTTTGACATTTCGACGCAAACTGTTTTTTGACAGTGTCATGATTTTTGGGCACGACCGCAAAAAGATTCAAACTCTGCGGTGGTCGGTAAAGTCTGTGTGAGGAAGTAGAAATGAAAAAAAACTTCTGCCGCCTCCAAAGTCTCGGAGTTTTCCAAACAATGACCAAGGTATTGCAACCACCCTTCCTGGCGTGGACAAGGCACGAGCCAACTCTCCTTCGGACCATCTGACGGCCACCCTATCCTACAAAAATTGTGCGTCAAGCGAAGTTTCTTGCATACAGGCACTTCTTCACTCAAAAGTTTACGCATACTCAACAAGAACAACAACTGTAGTCAATCTACAGCAGTCGTGCAGATTGATTAGAAAGATACCGATGACAAATCGATTCCTGGTGGATTCTGCTCATGGTGCCAAAATTGAAATTTTGAAAAGTGCAACTGAACCCGGGCTTGACTTTTGCTCGTTTTGCCGTCATACGCGACGGACCCAGCGACCGCGGGACAAGAGGTGGCCGTACCCACGAACGCGACTGCCGAAGGGAAAATGAAAAATCGAACCAAGGAAAGAGCCAGGGGTAAGAAGAAAAAATCCCAAAAGCGATATGCATTGCAAATATCTATGTCTGGGTCTGGAAACTTGTAATGTTGGGCCGTGAATTGGAAATGCACTGCAGCGGGTGGCGTAGCGATAGAAATATTTGCGCGGCCAAGTGTTGCGTTTCCCGCATGACAGTCTGCGTTTCGCTTTTTGCATGACAAGCAAAAGGATCTCATCTTGAACACGCGTCACAAGCTCTGCAGTCATGCTACAGACAGGCATGACAAACCTTGCATCCTTCAAGATCCAGATATTTTTGCAATGTATAGGCGATCTGGCAAGACAGTCCCGGACAAGGCGACGAAGGGGTCGGATTTCGAGCGGCTGATGATCATGGGCCTCGCGGAGGTTACGAAGCAAGTCTATAACGTTGGCTTCACGATAGCAGGGGATGATATCGAGCTGCAAAAAAAGATATCAAATTGTGTTGGAATCCAAAGGCCTCCCGATTATCGCACCTCGCTCTCGCATAGTAGAAAGATAAAGTCTTACTACACTCACAGTCGAGTATTTTATGCGAACTCTTGTCCACCGGACTGGGCTAACCGTTGTGCTCTTGGTACTCATGTCTTCAGACCAGCAGTCACACGAGTCGATAGAAACTTAGACATTTCCTTGCCAGGCTGACGTCTGTATTTCCACGCGGAACAAGCACAGTACGTAGCGGAGGGGGATTGCAATGTTTTTCCTTCCATATGAAATCCTCGCCATCCAAAAGCAATTTTCCGATGAGGCGGATGCGGACAACGACGCAGCCGCAGACAAACAGTCGTGGCCGGAAGCACAGCCTGCGACGAACCACACCCATGCAAAGAAGGCACGACCTAAAAAATCGGCTTTCGACGGCACTCATGATGAGGAGGGCCACGGTGATCTGCGGGGCAGATCGAACGACGAGCAAGAATCCCAGCAGGAGGACTTGTGAACCAGCGGTCGACGACAAAGTAGATGTACTGACTTCCTAGTCCTATTGGAATAAAGAAGCCCAAGCAAATTCGAATGAATACTGTGTCGCAAGGATTTGGACTCGATTTACGCGATGTAATTTGAAAATACGAGATGAACGTGAAACCTTTGTCGAGCTGGCAAAATGGATATTATCCATTTTGGATCCGATAATCAAACGAAGCCGTGCGTGCGTGCATTGAACCAGCAGTAAAAAATATTCACTTTACATCGTACGGAAAAAGTAAATGTGTCCCCACGACTGCTGCTCACCTTTTTCGAACTGAAAAGATGTGAAATAAAGCCCACTCGCAAATTAAATAAAGTGACGTTCTAGAAGATGTACTGATGTTAGGAATGGCGGCGCGATGAAAGCAGAAACAAGGGAGGCGCTGGAGTTCCGGCGGGGTACTTACAGGGGTGTGTGTGTTCCTACTTAGCCACAGCGTACGATATACAACGATTCGTGCGACTTCAAGATTTGTTGCTTTTAAGTGGCGGCAAAAGTTTATCTAATTTTTTCTTGCCGAGCGATGACGAAAAAAATTCTTTACTTGAGTTGCAAGTGCAACGAGGTAGATGAGAGTAAGCAGTGAGCTTGGTGTCTTATTTTGTCTGCTTACAGCTCCTGTAGCGGTTACCAGGAGAAGTACTAGCACGGAAAGGTGGTTGCTATCCCTGGAGCGCAATGACGAGCGAGGAGAGGTTGAGGTCTCTGCTCACGACGAACACTGCGATTTCAGTTTCCTTGTTTGCCTTTTGAAATTTGAAGTGACAGCTTCTCTCTATCTTTACGACAATAGCGGCGCTTGCGTCTGTAAAATCACGAAAAGAGCGCCACCGACAAAAGTCCTAGGAGTTTGGAAAATTCGTCCATTGAGCATCATGGTGGGGAAGAAAATGGTGGGAGGAGTCAGCAAGGCAGCGCTGTACAAGCGCAATCAGCGCAGTGCGAGCAATGCATCGAATAAAAAAGGGAAAAACAATAAGAGTATGAAAGGCAAAGGCACCACGCGGTCAGGAAGTGCAAAGCCAACCCAGAAACCGCCCATGAAGATGATGATCTCCGCGACCTGCTCGTCTGCATATGCATTGCAAATATGCCGGGGTCTGGAAGAACGCGAGGTTTGTCATGCTAGTCTGGCATTAGACTGAGCTTTGTATTGCGCGACCACGAACGCCTCCTCTTGTACTTGTTGGTCATGCAAAACCTAAAACACTGTATCTCATTCTCATGCGCAATTGATGACAACATGACGCGAGAGAAAAGCACAAAAAAAGTAATCTGTCATGTTCTTTGGCGCTGCGTTGCAGTGTGTTTACTATTCGCCGACATGCATCACAACTTTCCAGACCAAGACATGTTTGCGCTTGATACTGCACCGCAGATTACCACAGCGATGAAAGCTGCGGGTAAATCTCTCGCCGCAGCGGCCAGTACTGCCATGAAGACCCCTGGGAAAGGAGCGCAGGTGATGAAAAAGATGAGTACCTCCGCCACTGCCACTGAGGATGACACCGCTTCGCCGGTGGAGGAGCAGGAACTGCTGCAGGAAAAGGACGAGCCGGGGGCACAAGACCAGGACGAGGGTACTTCGATTTTACTAGTTCTTTCAGATTCACTCCGTGTTCTTGTTCAACTGTGTCTGCATGAAGTTGAAGTGTGCATCACCTACCACTTTTTAGACTTGCAGATAAAGATTCACACTTTTTATTTCCAACGGAATGCAAATCGACAACAGGGATGCAGTGCGTGTGGTGGAAGCTCATCATCCTGGCCGTGTGCATGCTCGTCACAGGATATCAAGATGAATATTTTTCAGCACCAAGGGATAACTACTACCTTTCCAAGGAAATGAAGTTGCAACCCTATGTGCAAAAAATTTTATTCCGTGGAGATGGAGAGAGCCTGCTGCTTCGCCAGGCTTTCTTCTAGTCGCATAGCTAAGCTGCTATTCTAGCATCCTTTTCTATGTTCTCTTCGCAAGACTTTGTTATTGCAGACGACTGGACTTTCTCAGGGGCCCACCTTTTGTGCATTGCTGTTTGTGACGAATGAATCCCTCTGCGAAAGTTTTGATCTTGATATCACTGTGATCGGAACCATGGTGGTAATGTGTAGTCTGCATCCGGAAGCGCCAACTCTGGGGGGAGGGAAGAACGCCAACTCTGGAGATGCCCCTCCGTATGCTGCGCCGAAAACGTTTCCCTACTCTCGCTTTTCACACACAAAAGAGAAAATGCCTGCTGATGTGCCATTTTTCCGAAACTCGAAGCAAGGGCACGAATAAAGATAAAGTCATGGTGGCTGTTTTAACGGATGAAAGCTTTCTGTCATGGTACGTATTTTCGATAAAGTCAATGTAAATTTTTGTACGTGCAACCTGAAATCATACGACCGAATGCGCAAGGCAGACGAGAAAGCGTTTTATTTGCCTTGATACGGAGACGGAGAACTCGAGGGGTTCGCCTGCCGCCTCTGGTGCCGACTATGGATTGCAAATACGTCTGGGTCTGGAAACTTGTAATTATGCATAGGCGTGAATAGTGAATGCCGATGCTCTGCAATGCACAGCCAAGCATGGGAAATATTTGCGCGGGTTAGTATTGACCTTTTTGCATCACAGAAGGCGACTTTGCATGACAAGAGAAAGGGTTTCTTCTTCAAAACGCATCGCGAACTCTTCACTCATGCCAGACAAGCATGGCTAACGTTGCATCGATCCGTCCGGGCCCAGACATAGTTGCACTTGATACCGATTCGGGCACTGGGACGACCTCCTCGTCCAGCACCACCACGACCTTTTCCGTCTCGCTATACATTGCAAATAGGTCTGGGTCTGGAAGAATGAATTGTTTGTCATGCTCGAATAGCGACGCGAACTCTTAACCCTGTCGTGTAAATTGCCCAAACACGACCCCAATTGCCTGTCATGCTAAATAAATGCGATTAGCCATGTAGAGTAGGCAATATCTACCAGCGCAAAAACTTGTGGTCATGCTTCGCCGTCAGTTGAGGCATAGTGTTCTCATGAATGTCCAACCCGCATCACAAGTTTCCAGACCCAGACTTGCTTGCATCGGATACTCGCTGTTCAAGCCCGACTCTATCCCGTGTTGCAAAATCCCCGTTTTTTTTTGTACAGAGCGCGTTTTTGTAGTGAAGGCAAGCCACTTGCTGTGCTCGTAGATGAAAGAATTCACTTACTCGCAATATATCATTTTGGTGGATGTGCAAAATGTACACTTCTTGCGACGCTTTTGCACTGCGGTATAGACCACAACGTCATCAAACCACTGGTCAAAATGAAAATCGCATCGAATGGCGCTAACGAGGAAGCGGACTCCCCGGGCTCGGAGGCCGCTGAGGAAGAGGAATCAAATTTTTCGCCACCGTTATGTACTGAGAAAAACCACCTCTCGTGGGTTCTACGTGTGGTGGTCAAGACCTATTTACTTGAGATTGATTTGAAATCATGGTATTACCGGATCCGTCCTGCGGACGACCGACGAGCACATGACAGATAAGGATCATGCATCTATGCATTTATCGCTTGATGAAAATTCCAAATTTTCTGCAAACGAAGTTGAGCAAGCTGTGGATGATGGGCTTTTCTCTGGCGTGGTTGCATACGGCGAAGAAGCCGAGTCGTGAACGTGATGAGCCGCTTTCTCGGGAATTTCAACGACTAGGACCACCACCGCGTTTTCATCCCAGTAATTTTAGATTCAATGATACGCATATAATGAAGAAGAATACCAAGACCGCTAAAAACGATTTCCGCTAGCTTTGCAAAATGAAATGGGCTGCTGAAGCTAGAATTCAAACGAAAATGGCGATTCTTGATGTACAATTAATTTGCCAGTCGTGTCATGTTGTGCTAGATCATTGATACTGCTAGATATAGACTTTATATGAAAAACGTCGTGCTACTGTCTCCATATTTGTTTCCTTTTCGCACAACGAGCCGAAAGATATGGTAGATTCACGAACCGCAGCTCATGTTAAAGGTTTGCACAAAAATTGATGACTAAAAGCCGGAACGACCCTCGTAGGTAACGCTAGAGTACTTACATGATGGTGACAAAGAAGGAGCCAAATAGAGTTTCCACATAGTTTACCATAGATATCCTGAACTAGTTGCGTGAACAAACTGGGACGACAGCAGAAGCTACGGCTATCTTGTCATAGATATAAAGCAATAGCGAAACACCGCTTTACAATTGTGTTCGCTGTCGACATGTTTCGCAAGAAACCCCCGGTCGCCCAAGCTGATCCTTCATGCGGAATGTTGAAAGTGAACTTTTTTGCGTACTCTGGCCCTGGTAAAAGTTACATCTTGTGGACAGATGGCACGAAAAAACCAGGATTGCAGAATATTCAAAAACAAGTTTTTTGCGTATCTCGCTCCTGGCAAAAGTGACATCTTGTGGACAGATGGCACGAAAAGACCAGGATTGCAGAATATTCAAAAACAACTTTTTTGCGTATCTCGCTCCTGGTAAAAGTGACATCTTGTGGACAGATGGCACGAAAAAACCAGGATTGCAGAATATTCAAAAACAAGTTTTTTGCGTATTTCGCTCCTGGTAAAAGTGACATCTTGTGGACAGATGGCACGAAAAAACCAGGATTGCAGAATATTCAAAAACAAGTTTTTTGCGTATTTCGCTCCTGGTAAAAGTGACATCTTGTGGACAGATGGCACGAAAAAACCAGGATTGCAGAATATTCAAAAACAAGTTTTTTGCGTATTTCGCTCCTGGTAAAAGTGACATCTTGTGGACAGATGGCACGAAAAAACCAGGATTGCAGAATATTCAAAAACAAGTTTTTTGCGTATTTCGCTCCTGGTAAAAGTGACATCTTGTGGACAGATGGCACGAAAAAACCAGGATTGCAGAATATTCAAAAACAAGTTTTTTGCGTATTTCGCTCCTGGTAAAAGTGACATCTTGTGGACAGATGGCACGAAAAAACCAGGATTGCAGAATATTCAAAAACAAGTTTTTTGCGTATTTCGCTCCTGGTAAAAGTGACATCTTGTGGACAGATGGCACGAAAAAACCAGGATTGCAGAATATTCAAAAACAAGTTTTTTGCGTATCTCGCTCCTGGTAAAAGTGACATCTTGTGGACAGATGGCACGAAAAAACCAGGATTGCAGAATATTCAAAAACAAGATTTTTGCGTATTTCGCTCCTGGTAAAAGTGACATCTTGTGGACAGATGGCACGAAAAAACCAGGATTGCAGAATATTCAAAAACAAGATTTTTGCGTATTTCGCTCCTGGTAAAAGTGACATGTTGTGGACAGATGGCACGAAAAAACCAGGATTGCAGAATATTCAAAAACAAGAATTTTGCGTATTTCGCTCCTGGTAAAAGTGACATCTTGTGGACAGATGGCACGAAAAAACCAGGATTGCAGAATATTCAAAAACAAGATTTTTGCGTACTTCGCTCCTGGTAAAAGTGACATCTTGTGGACAGATGGCACGAAAAAACCAGGATTGCAGAATATTCAAAAACAAGTTTTTTGCGTATCTCGCTTCTGCTAAAAGTGACATCTTGTGGACAGATGGCACGAAAAAACCAGGATTGCACCAGAATATTCAAAAACAAGATTTTTGCGTATATCGCTCCTGGCAAAAGTGACATCTTGTGGACAGCTGGCACGAAAAAGCCTAAATCGTAAATGATTCAGAAGCATTCGTGTCTGATGTGAACACTTTTGGCTTCTCTGGGACAAACTCAAAAGAGCGATTATCCGCAAGTCGGTTTCCGGGAGTTGAGCGATTATCGGGGATTCCCGATAATCGCTCCCTTCCCACTTTTTGTCATGCTTCTTGCGCAAGACAGATTTTCGGTCCAGCAGATATCGGTCGTGATTCAGAAGCATTCGTGTCTGATGTGGACATTTTTGGCTTCTCCGGGACAAAATCCAAAAAGCGATTATCCGGGAGTTGAGCCGTCACCTTCGTTCAGCTCGGCTGCCTTTAATACCTGTGGTCGTGTGATAGATAGCGGCCCATCGTCCATTCAAAGAAGAACAAAAACGCATCAGAGCAAACGGTTCGACGCTGAACAGAATCGGGTACCCCATCGTCTGAAAAGTGCGCTAGAATTTCAACAAGGCTCCATTTTCGTACCCACTTGAGCTCCCGTGACCAACAACAGACAGTCTATCTCCTAGTGATGATGATCGTGTGCTTTTGTACTTGCAGTACGTTTTCAAACGGAACCATACCCGATGTGGCCTTTCAAAATGTAAGCAATAGCATTGGGGTTTAAAGAGTTGCGTTATGTACTCCTCTTCTAGTGATTTTTAGAGTTGACCTTTGTGCATCGAATAATGGAGCTTTCCTTATTTCGCCCTTTGCTTTGATGTTTCTCGCGTTTTTTCGACAATAGTCGTTCCAACAGCCTTTTTTTTGCATCCAGCAGCGGTTGTAAAAATCGAAGTCAGAACAAGATGGCTGTTGCGCACCAGGAGGAGTCCGACACTCCCCCTACGTACAGGCTGGTCGACCTGGAGAAAATTTTGCAAGAGAAGGGCTGGGTGAAGGATCACACATGCGGCAGCCACCGTATGAGAATGCACAACTCCGCTTTTCCCTCAATTGCCATGCAAATGCCGTTTCTGTTTTGCCCTGTCTGCATGACAAATCCCAGCAGCGGAAACACATTATGCTGATGCAGTTTATGTAGCAGGCAGCAACTTGTCATGCACATGCGCAGGCTTATATATTCGGTTGCGTTTCTTTTGCTGGTCACGCCTTTCAGATGAGAGGGAGGGGAACAAGTTGTGCACTGTCATAGGCCGCATTTTCAAGCGGGAAGGATACAAGGTCATTCCGGTTTCGGTGCACTCCAAAAATTTGGTAAGTCAGGAGACGTGGCGTCTCACCATGTTGCAAGTCCGGAAACGCGAGCTGGAACGGGAAGAGCTCGACCTGAAAAAAACTCGTCGCGAGGCGGAACTGCAGAACGCAAACGACGCCGCAGCCGCCAGACAGGCGGAAGCTGGGCCCGCCCCCCGGACCACGAGGAAGAGTGTTACAACGAATACTGACGAACAAGCACCAGCAGACCTGCGTGCGAACAGAAAGCTGGCCTGGCAAGAGCACCCGATCTTGGTCACTGAGACGCGACTGGGCGAGGACGCAGAAGCAGCTCCGTCGGATGGAGGGAAGGCCAGCTGCAAAAGCCAGTCTGAGGTAGCGGAGCAAATCGCTGGAGGAATCATTTCCCATGTGTACGACCTGCTCGGGGATGCGCAGCATGAGCTGGCAGAGCGCGTCCTGAAGCAGTTCCTGTACGAACACAAGCGCTTCAGCGGTCGCCTGCTGAAGGACATGAAGTCAAGAGATTTACCCGGTAATTATCATTTGGTGCTTGTTGCACAACCTCCTTCTGCGTCAGGAACAACACCTGGCGCGACGACGACGACCTGCCCAAATGGAACCAGGTTGCTGACGAGTTTCACACGGAGGTCATCTACGACCTGATGCACAGCATGGGAATGGTGGAAAGCTGTTGTAGGCAGCTACGCGCGATTCTTGATGAAGCTTTCGGTGGGGATTTCCGGCAAAAGGTGAATCTGCTGACGCTCAAAGCACTGTTGGCTGTCAGCCATCAAAAAATTTGAGAAGGCGGAAAGAAGTACTTCAACCTCTCGCACCAGCTGCAATGTAAATTCATGCTGCCTCCTGCGTCTGCATCCGCGGACGAGTCGCAGAGCAGGAGCACGACTTACAAGAAAGTTCCAAAGCGCAGGAAGAACTGCAACTTAGTCCGGTTAATGTTTGGGCCCCTGAATTTGTGTACGCTGCGTAACGCAAATCTCGCATCAGAAATTTCCTTTTCGATATGGGGATGGTGGATTTTTCCTTTTGATGCTTTGTGTTCGTTGTTTCGATTCGGTACCGCTTTCTGTTCCTCGACGAAAGAAATCTCCTCGTATTGTAGGTAGGCCAAGGTCAAATTTTTGCACCGAGAGCTCGAGGGAAGCGAAGGGCAAAACCCAGGAGAGTTCGGATTTTGAAAGATTCGGACTTACGGACTAGGGAAGAATACAGTGTAAAAAACCATGTGCGCTAGAACTGCACAACCTCGACCTCCTTCTGCGTCAGGAACAACACCTGGCGCGACGACGACGACGACGACGCAAGAAACGAACGGCAACCAGGCTTTTTTGTCGAATATTGAATCTTCAGACGCGAAAAATCCTCCACTTCCATCGGCCAAGCAGTCCACCTCGTCTGGCAGCCAGTCTGGTTCTTCGCGAGGTGAGCCGCGTACTGCCTTTTCTTTCGACCTGCTTTCGGAAGAAACCAAGGAAACGCTGGACTTCTTGCTGGTAGCGGTAATTGACGCGCGGGTTTTTCGTGTCGTTGACAGCGGCTACGCATCAAATGCAAAAGTGTCTGGGTCTGGAAGAATGCAACTTGTGATGCTACTTTTGGAATCTACATAAAATCTGTATTGCATGAACAGCAAAAGAGGTGTAATTTGTGCTACGTGGAGAGGGCATTTCTCATGCGGTATGAGCATGTGATGAAAGCCCTCGCAAAATCTCTGATGCTAGGGCATGCATCACAGACCTCATCGGTCATGCAAAATCTGCATGACAAATTCCTGCATTGTTCCAGACGCAGACACTTTTGCAATCCATACTACGTGTCGCAGAACGAAACGAACGGCCTGTGGCAGATCTTGTACCTGCTAGGGGAAATGCACAGCAGGTACTGGACAAAGACCGGGCAAGTGCGGGAGCGACAGGAGGACATGTGGATCAAGATTGCAGCGCGGGCGATTCAACTGCAGAAGTAGAAAGAGTCGTCGCGGTGGATCGCTATGGCGAGGCAAACACCGTGCCTGCTTCAATTGAGGAGAACCGGGACCTCACGCAAAAGCTGCACGCAGCCAACGTGTACCTGGATTCAATCATAGATGCCTACAAGTTCATCGCGGAAGCGACGGAAAAGAAGTTTTTGCCGCGCGATTATGTCGTGAAGAATTTCGCCGCCGGATTCGCGCTGTGTGCGGTTTTGATCATCTCTCGGCTCCGAGAGGAGTTTTTTACCTACTGCAAATTTGAGGAAACGAAGAAGACACTGGAAGTTCTCGTAGCGGCTTTCGGAGTACCACTGAGAGAAATCTCACCCGACTCGTGGAAGGTTCTTGGCAC